TATCCTTATCTGAAGAGGAAGAGACATCAGAGAGGTCTCTCCCTACCCTTACACATATCACTCAAAGGCCATGTCAGGATACAACAAGGCAGCTATCAGCCAGCCCTGTGCATACCTGTAATCCCAGAGACTCAGAAGGCTGAGGCAGGAGTATCTCAAATTCAAGGCCAGCCTTGATAACTTAGTGAGACTCTGCCTTAAAACAAAATAAAATAAAAAGGACTGAGTAGAATGCACCTGGGTTCAATGCCAATGACACACACACACACACACACACATACACACACAAAATCATAGCTTTGAGTACCACTATATGCTGAGTCCTGAGTCATGATAGTGAATCATCAAACCTAAGTATGGTCTTGGAGAACCCCAACACTGAGTCTATTTTTTTTTCTTTTTAGTACCAGGGGTTAAACTTAGGGGCACTCAACCACTGAGCCACATCCCCAGCCCTATTTTGTATTTTATTTAGAGATAGGATCTCACTGAGTTGCTTAGCACCTCGATTTTGCCAAGGCTGGCTTTGAATTCAAGATCCTCCTGCCTCAGCCTCCTGAGCTGCTGGAATTACAGGCATGCGCCACAGCACCCAGCAGTCTTTTCTATATAGTACCATGCAACTCATTTTTTTTTTTGTTTCAGAATACTGTAATATTTTAATCTTTGGTATAAAGGTTAAAAGAGAAAATTTTCAAAAACAATAGCTAAAATAATTTGTTAATTTTTTACAGTGCCTCAAGAATACATTGTTAAAGGATGGCTTCACTGTTGAATCCTTCAAATAGTTAGAGAATCATTACTACCAATATTTCTCAGACTCTTCCCAAAATCTGAAGGACAGAGAATGTTGTCAAACTCAATGAGGCCAACACAACCTTGACTTCAAAACCTGACCAGGACACTACAAGAAAGGAAAATTACAGGCCAACCTTCCTGATGAACATAGACACAAAAATCTTTAACAAATAGTAGCAAACCAAATTCAACAGTACATTAAAAGGATTTTCTCCATGATAGAGTGAGATTTGTACTAGGGATGCAACATACACAATCCTATGAATGTGTTATACCCCATTAACAGAAAGAAAAACAAAAAATATATATATGGTCATGTAAATAGATGTAGAAAAACTATTTGTTAAAATTCATCCTGTTGTGATAGACTCTTACCAACTGAAGTACAGAAGGAATGCACCTCAACACAATAAAGAGTATATATGGCAAGTCTGTAGCTAACATTAAACTCAACAGTAACAGAGTTGAAAGCTTTTCCTCTAACATCAGAAATAAGATCCACTCTTGGGCTGGGGATGTGGCTCAAGTGGTAGCGTGCTCTCCTGGCATGCGCGGGGCACTGGGTTCGATTCTCAACACCACATAAAAATAAAATAAACCTATTGTGTCCTCCTAAAACTAAAAAATAAGTATTTAAAAAAAGAAATAAGATCCACTCTTTCCACTTCTATTCTAAGAAATTTAAAAGGAAATTTTTAAAAATCCAAATTGGAAAAGAAGAGCTTAAATACTTCCTTTTGGCAGGCAAACTGATCTTTTTTTTTTTTTAAGAGAGAGGAGTGAGAGAGAGAATTTTTTTAATATTTATTTTTAAGCTTTCGGCAGACACAACATCTTCTGGGTTTTTTTGTATGTGGTGCTGAGGATCGAATCTGGGCCTCACGCATGCCAGGCAAGTGTGCTACCGCTTGAGCCACATCCCCAGCCCAAGTAAACTGATCTTGTGTATAGGAAACCTAAAGACTCCAGCAACAGACTCTTAGAACTAATAAATGATTCGAACTTACACATTCAGTAAAGTTATAGGATATGAAATTGACATACAAAAGTCTACTAGTGTTTTTATGCTCTTAAGAAGTTTGTAAAAAAGAAACCAAGAAAACAATCCCATGTATAATACCTACCAGAAAAATAACACCTAGGAATAAATTTGACCAAGGGTGAGAAAACTGTACATTGGAAAGTATAAAACATGGATGAAAAAAGTTAAAGAAGACACAAATAAATGGAAATAAATGATACCATGTTTATGGATCAGAAGAGTTATTGTTAAAATGTCCATGCATCTAAAGCAAACTATGGATTCAATGTAATCTGTATTTAATTTCCAATGACTTGACTTTTTACAGAACCAGGAAAAAAAGAATTTTTTTTGATCCCTAATTTGTATAGGATCAAAAAAAAAAAATCCCTGAAGAGCCAAAATAATCTTGAGCAAAAAGAACAAAGTTAGAGGCATCACAATATCTGACTTCAAAATATACTACAAAACTGTGGTGATCAAAACAGCATGATAGTGGAACTAAAAAAGCATATAAACCAAAAGAATATAGTAAAAACCCAGAAATAAACCCACGGATTTACAGTCAATGGATTTTTGACATAACAGGGAAAAGAGAGTCTTCAGTTAACAACACTGGGAAAACAGATATCTGTCCACGTGCAGAACAAAATTAAATTCTCTCACTATGTATAAAAATCAACTCTAAAAGGATTAAAGATTTAACATATAAAATATCAAGCATTGAAACACAGGGCAGAATCATTGGTCTGGGCAATGCCTTTTTAAAATTTATTCTAATATGCTATACATGATGGCAGAAGGCAATTCATTTCATATTACACATATAGAGTACCAACTCATTTTCACAGCCCTTCCATAAATCACTTTATTGCCTGTATTGGTGCCAGCTCCTTCAGGGCAGGTCCTATCTTAGGCACCATTGTGTTCCCAGGGCATGACACTGTGTAGGCTCCCAGTAAATGCTTACTTAGTCTTATAGTGTGTCAATGGGAAGCAGTCTATGTACCGATAAACACGTAACCAGATTAGCTGGAAGAATAGCAAGTATAACTCGTTTGCCAATTTAATTACAATTTCTAATTATAATTTTTAAATACAGTTTTTTTTTCTTTTGGTACTGGGGATTAAATCCAGGGTTGCTTAGCCACAGAGCCACATTCTCAGCCCTTTTTATTTTTTATTTTGAGGCAGGGTCAAAAATTTGCTTAGGGCCCCACTAAATTGCTAAAGCTGGCCTTGAACTTTCAATCCTCCTGCCTCTGCCTCCCAAGTCACTGAGAGTACAGAAGTGCACCATCATACTCGGCTAAACATAGTTTTATATTTTTAAATATATCCAGTAATTCATGGCTAATAAAAATTATTTGGCAGCAGTTGGGGGTCTTTAAAATGATACACACTTAGCTGGGCATGGTGGTGCACACCTGCAATCTCAGTGACTGGGGAGGCTGAGGTAGGAGGATCACTAGTTCAAGATAAGCCTCAGCAGCAATTTAGCAAGGCCTTAAGCAATTCACTGATACCTTGTCTCAAATTTAAAAAGTAAAAAGGGCTGGGGAGGATGTGGCTCATTGGTAAAATCACTCTGGGTTCAATCCCCTGTATTAAAAAAAAAAAGATACACTCTTTTGATTAGCAAAATTTAGGACATACTATAGTCCCCCCTTATTCACCGTTTCACTTTTCTAAAAATTTATTTATTTATTTATTAAATTTTAATTAGGTATATATGACAGAAGAATGCATTTTGATTCATCATACATAATTGCAGCACAACTCTTCATTTCTCTGATTGTACACGATGTATTGTTGCACCATTTGTGCAGTCATACATGTACCTAGGGTAATAATGTCCATCATATTCCACCATCTTTCCTGTCCCCATACCCCCTCTCCTCCCTCCCCCTTGCCCAATCAAAGTTCTTCCATTTTCCCCATGCCCCCCCTACACTTAGGGATCAGCATCCACTCATCAGAGAAGACATTTGGCCTTTGGTGTTTTGGAATTGGCTTACTTTGCTTAGCATGATATTCTCCAACTCCATCCATTTATCTGTAAATGCCATAATTTTATTCTTTTTTAAATGCTGAGTAACATTCCATTGTGTATATATATATATCACAGTTTTTTTATCCATTCATCTATTGAAGGGCATCTAAACTGCTTCCACAGTTTAGCTATTGTGAATTGAGCTGTTATAAACATTGATATGGCTGCATTGCTATAGTATGCTGATTTTAAGTCCTTTGGATATAGAACGAAGAGTGAGATTATTGGGTCAAATGACATGTAGACCAATGGTACAGAACAGAAGACACAGAAACAAATCCACATAAATACAGTTATCTCATACTAGACAAAGGCGCTGAAAACATGCCTTGGAGAAAAGATAGCCTCTTCAACAAATGGTGCTGGGAGAACTGGAAATCCATATGCAGCAAAATGAAACTAACTCCCTATCTCTCACCATGCACAAAACTCAACTCAAAGTGGATCAAGGACCTAGGAATTATACCAGAGACCCTGTGGCTAATAGAGGAAAAAGTAGGCCCTAATCTCCATCACTTTGGATTAGGCCTCAACTTCCTTAACAAGACTCCTAAAGCATAAGAAATAAAATCAAGAATTAATAAATGGGATGGATTCAAACTAAAAAGCTTATTCTCAGCAAAAGAAACAATCAATGAGGTAAAAAGAGAGCCTACATTTTGGGGAGCAAATTTTTGCCACACACATGTCAGATAGAGCGCTAATCTTCAGGATATATAAAGAACTGAAAAAAAACTTAACACCAAAAAAACCCAAACAACCCAATCAATGAATGGGCCAAGGAGCTGAACAGACACTTCTCAGAAGAAGACATACAATCAATCAACAAATATATGAAAAATGTTCAACATCTCTAGCAATTACAGAAATGTAAATCAAAACTACTCTAAGATATCATCTCATTCCAGTCAGAATGGCAGCTATTAAGAATACAAACAACAGTAAGTGTTGGCAAGGATGTGGGGGAAAAGGCATACTCATACTTTGTTGGTGGGACTGCAAATTGGTGCAGCCATTCTGAAAAGCAGTTTCGCTTTTTGTGGTTTTATTTACCCATGATCAACCATGGTGTGAAAATATTAAGTGGAAAATTCCAACAATAAATAATTCATAAGTTTTAAACAACTATTATATATTGAATTGCTTTATTATTCATCTCTTATTAGCCTAATTCATAAGTTAAACTTTATCATAAGTACATACACATAGGAAAGAACATAGTATCTACAGAATTCTTACTATTGAGGTTTTAGTCATCCAATGGGGATCTTGGAACATATCCTCCTCAATACAGGGGACTACTATAAAATTAATGGCTGTTCACAAACTTAAATGAGAAGATCCTTCCACTGAAGAAAGTCAAATATATCCTCCATATTTTATGACACTCATGGACTGGAAATCTGAATTTATAAAGTTTTATTGAACAATTTTAACCAATAGTGTTTGCACTAGTTATCTATTGCTATGCAACAAATGATTCCCAAAACTCAGCAATTGAAGACCTCTGGCACATTTTCTGAGAGCCAGAAGTGTCTTATCTAGTTGTTTCTGGTGCTAATTCTCAGGAGGTTGGCAGTCAGGATGTGGTTGGGACTGTGGACTCATCTGAAGACTTATTTGGGCAGGAGGGTCTGCCAACATAATTGTTGGCAGGAAGCTTGGGTTCTTCACCACCTGGGCCCATCCACAGCTGACTGATGTGTCCTCACAAAACAGCATCTGGCTTCCCCCAGGGTAGGTGATCTAAGGATGGGCAAGAAAGAAACAACAATGCTTTTATCAAGTAGTCTTGTTAGTTTTCACACTGTCTCTTCATGAAATTCTAATTGTCAGAATTGACTTACTAAGGGGCTGAGGCTGTGGCTCAGTGGTAGAGTGCTTAAAGCGCCTTGCATGTGTGAGGCACTGGGTTCAATCCTCAGCACCACATAAAAAATAAATAAATCTATTGTGTCCATCTACAACTAAAAATATTTAAATAAAGAAATATTTATTTATTTATTTAAATAAAATTATTTAAATAAAAATATATATTAAATATATATATATATATATATATATATATATGAATTGAGTTACTAAATCTAGCTAACTCTCAAGGGGAGGGAAATGAAGCATAGTCTTATGAATGAAGAATGCTTTAGTTTGCATCTGGAAGGTCCCCCAAATTTTCATGTATAAAAGCCTTGATCCTTAGCTTGGTGCTTTTGGAAGGTGGCAGAAACTTTAAAGGGGGTGGAGGGGGTAGGTCCTAATCCTGACACCAAGGCACACATCTATAATCCCAGCAACTCAGGAGGCTGAGGCAGGAGAATCACAAATTCAATGCCAGCATCAGCAACTTTGTGATACCCTCAGCAACTTAGTGAGACCCTGTCCCATATAAAAAATGAAAAAGGCTGGGGAATGTAGCTCAGTGACAGAGCATCTCTGGGTTCAACCCCCAGTACCAAAAAAGGGGTGTCTAATGGGAGGTCTTCTGATCACTGGGGGCATGCCCTTGAAGGAGAGTGGGACCCTGCACCTTCTTGCTCTTTTTTGTCCTTCTCTCTCTCTCTCTCTCTCTCTCTCTCTCTCTCTCTCTCTCTCTCTCTCTCTCTCTCTCTCTCTTGTCCCAACCATGAGGTGAATGGTTTTATGATTTTGCCACACACTGCTGCCATGACATGCTGTCATAGGCCCAAAAAAGAACAGAACACATCAAACATAGACTAAAATCTCCAAACTGTGAGCCAAAATAAACCTTTTCAGTTTAAGGGCAAAGTACCTCAGCTATTTGTTATAGTAATGGAAAGCTGACTAACATAAAGGAATATCAAAGAATTTGCAGATGTATTATAAAAACATCACACTGGAGCTGCAGTTGTGGCTCAGTGGTAGAGCACTTGCCTAACTAACATGTGTGAGGCACTGAATTCAATTCTCAGCACCACATATAAATAAGTAAAATAAAGGTCCATTGACAACTAAAAAAAAAATATTTAAAAAAAAATCACACTAAGGCCGGGCATGGTGGCATACACCTGTAATCCCAGTAGTTTGGGAGGCTGAGACGGGAGGATTGAGAGTTCAAAGCCAGTCTCAGCAACAGTGAGGCTCTAAGCAACTCAGTGAGACCCTGTCTGTAAATAAAATTTTAAAAAAGGGCTGGGGATGTGGCTCAGTGGTCTAGTGCCCCTGAGTTCAGTCCCCAGTACCAAAACAAAACAAAACAAAACAAACATACTAATATATTACAGGTTAACTTTCATAATTTCTTAATGAATGATGATACGGAAATGAATTTTTTTTCAGTGCTGGGATGGAACCCAGGGCCTTGCACATGCTAGATAAGTGCTTTACCAGTATGCTACACCATCCCTACCAGATCCCTAGTATGATTTCTACCTAAGGCATAGGCAATTCAAATTGGACCTCCGCTCTATGTCCTAAACCTCAGAACACATGCTTTGGAGTACCTTCCACAAAATGGTCCCTTTTGGTAACTGACTGGTTGGAGCCACAAGTGCCACATGAGTAAGATGCCCTGAATCTGAACTGGGACACATTTGTCCCTGAGCCCCATTTCTTCTTGTTGGAGGTGGTCTTGCCCTTTACCCTATGTGTAGGTCAGATGGAAGCCTTAGGAACTCTGTTATTTATACTTAGGTTTTCTCAAGCTCCATGGCCAGTAGTGGGAAAGTGACTTGGCAAGTAGATCACTCCTGCTGGCTGGTGTGGCATTTCTTTCACTAGATCCCATGAGATTGGGCCTCAGAGTGGTACTGATATGCTGATTTTGGGTGGCTCTTATTTAAGTCATCTACAAAACAATTTCAGAACTCTAGGCTATCAATAATCACTGTGAACCCTGGAGCTTGAGTTGCATGTGTAGGCCCATGCATCAGCTCTCACCCATCAGTATTCCAATTGAGGTGCCATCTCCAGTGTAGAGCATCCAAAAGTGTTAGGGGTAGTGGCAGATGCCTTTTTTTTCTGTGTGTATCTGTGCCACTGTTATCCAGGGTAGTCATTCCCTCCAGAGGTTCTACATATGGTATCAGGCATCCTTTGGGTCATAACTATGTTCTCCCAACAACTTTCAAGACTATTGCTCCATAACTCCTTAGAACCAATGTCCTCTCTCAGCTCCCATCAGTGTAATAATTCCCCAGGTCAGGCTAAAGCCATGCCAGATAAGAAATGTATATTCTTTGTACAAAGTGAGGACCATGGGCTCCTTGCCAATCCTCCCCACTGGTGGTGCTGTGTGTAAAGCAGTTGAACAGTCAACCTTGAAAGACATTTCATTTTAGGAATACAGTGATTACTGTTTAAAGAGTTTAAAAGAAGACAGAAGATGTTCTGTTAAACATTTTTGCTATAAAATTTCAGATGGTAAATTTACAACAACCAGAGAATTAAGTACTGTTCATTTTTTTTTTTTTTGGCATACTCCAAAGCTTCTGTGGTCTTTATTAACGAAGCACAGTAACACATTATGAGTCACTGGTGGCCACTTTCCATGGCAACCTGATGGATGATGAGTCACGCATAATAATGTAATCAGCAGTAAGTAATTTAAGGGGGCTGTGGATGTAGCTCCATGGTAAAGTACTTGTCTAGCATGTGCAAGGCCCTGGGTTCAATTCCCAGTACCTCAAAAAAAAAAGTAAAAATAATTTGAATAAATGGTACTTAAACCTGCAGAGGCAAGAAGATCTACATATCTACAATACAAACATTCTGAGAAGCAACAGTGTTCCTACCTTTTTGTGATAGGAGATATGAAGTTAGCCAGAGATAGCATATTTGACAATGAAGAACATAAATAAAGAACATGGAGCTGATCTTAGTGGCTCACACCAGCTACTTGGAAGTGAGGCAGTAGGTTCACATATTTGAGGCCAGCCTGGGCAACTCAGAGAGACCCTGTCTCAAAATAAAACAAAATAAAATAAAAAGTTCTGGTGATAGAGCTCAGTGGTAGAGCACTTGCCTAGTATGTGTTAGGCCCTGGGTTCCCTGTACCACACAAACATACACACACAAAAAAAGAAGAAGAAGGAGGAGGAGGAGGAGGAGGAGGAGGAGGAGGAGGAGAGAAGGAGAAAGAAAGAAAAAAAGAAAAAAGGACATGGAAAATGGTTTTTCTAGCCAGGTACAGTGGCACATGCCTGTAATCTCAGTGGCTCGGGAGGCTGAGGCCAGCCTCAGAAATTTAGCAAGGCACTAAGCGTCTCAGTGAGACCCTATCTCTAAATAAAATACAAAAATAGGGCTGTGGATGTGGCTCAGTGGTTGAGTACCCCTGAGTTCAATCCCAGGTACCCCCCTGCAAACAAGAAAGAAAATGATTTTCCTGGACCTGAAAAGGGGGAGATGAAGCTTGAAAACTATGCAGGGTCTTCATGTGGCTGGAATAGATGAGAAATATAAATATTTCTTCTCTACATATTGATCTAAATCTTTACCAATAAATCATAATATCTAACATGAACCTATGATATTATAGTGTATTTTTACTTTAATTGTTTATATGGATGTAGGCCATATTTGTCTAAGGCCCCACATACTTTAGAGGCAGTGTGGTATGCAGCTTCTAAGATGGTCCCTTATTATCTCCATCTCCTGGTGTGTATACCCTTGCAGAATCCCATTCCTCTGAGTGTGGACTGGATTTAGTGATTTGCTTCTAATAGACTATGGCAGAAATGATGTGAGATATATATATATATATATATATATATATATATATATATATATATATATATAAAACTGGGAATTGAACTCTGAGGCACTTGACCACTGAGCCACATCCCTATTTTGTATTTTATTTAGAGACAGGTTCTCACTGAGTTGCTTAGTGCCTTGCCATTGCTGTAGCTGGCTTGGAAGTCATGATCCTCCTGCCTCAGCCTCCCCAGCTGCTGGGATTACAGGCATGTGCCACTGCACCCAGCATGATGGGATATTTAATGGATTCATTTGACCTGACTATAGTCATCTTTAGTCATAACCACCATGACTGCCTCTGAATAACCGTGGTGACTTGTCCCTCATAGTTTCCCAGCATCCTATAAATAGACAAAACCATTAGAGTGTTATGTGTTGAAGCTTTATGATGGACACTGGCATTCAGCACCACAAAGGTTCCTGACCCAAATCACAGGAATCCACTGGTCTTGCTGCCACTGTAACACATTTTTATTAGTAAGTGCTCAATAAATTGCACTCTGTACAATCTTTGATCAATATGCCTCTTTCTTTGGTTTCATGGCACTTGGGGCCAGTTTTCATACACTAAAACAGGACTATTCCAGAATAGATATTAATACATAAAAGACTGAAGTTTCCACTTTAGATATGATCTCTTCTACTTGTTCTTTCTCTCCTTCCCTTTCTCCCTCCTTCTCAGATTGGAGTCCATCTATCATGTAAAGAAGTCCAGGATGTTAAAATGGTTACATGAAAAGGAGAGTCCTTAGGGCTGTGGTTGTAGCTCAGTAGCAGAGCACTTGCCTAGCATGTGTGAGACACTGGGTTTGATTCTCAGCACCACATATAAATAAATAAATAAATAAAATAAAAGTCCATTAAAAATATTTTTAAAAAGAAAAGAAAAAGAGGGTCCCTGGAGGCTGAAAGCCACATGGAGACCTGAAGTGCCCCTGCCAACAGCCAACACCAACCATCAGTCACATGAGTGGGACTTTTTAGAAGCAGAATCTTCCAACCCCAGTAACCTTCAAATGACTGCAGCCCCAGATGAAACCTGGTGAGAGACCCTGAGCCAAAGCTGCACCTAGATTCCAGATCAAAAGAAAGAGTAAGATAAAATGTTTCTGGTTTTAAGCGATTCAAAAAAATTTTTAGACAAAATGTCACAAAGGATATTGATCAAGTTTATTTTCAAAGACGCTAGTGAATGTCACCTCTGATTTATAAAAGTAGATAAACAAAATTTTTATAGAGGAAATATCTCGATATATAATATATAATAACACTGAGACATAGTACACATAATATTCCAAGAATATCAGTTGGGCTGGGGTGTAAGTCAGTGGTCAAGCACTTGCCTAGCATGATTTTTTCCTAAGTGTCCTGGTGAAATCTCAAAGAGAGTTCTAGGCACTCTAGGCACAGAAGAGATCCTAAAACATCAATCTAATTTATTTTTTTCAATATTTAGGTGTGATTTGGGTAAGGCAAAATTCAAAAACTTCATCTCAGGAGATTTGGACACTTCATTAAAACAGGATCATAGGTGCCTGAGACATAGTATCAGTTTCCTATTTAACCAAAGGACAATAAAACATATAGAAAATAACATGATTAGGACTGGTGCTGTGGCTGTAGAGCACTTGCCTAGCATTTGCAAAGCCTTGGGTTTCATCTGTACCATGCATGAATGCACATGCACACGTGTGCGCGCGTGCACACACACACACACACAAAGAAAACAAAAGAAAAGAAAATGCAACATAATTCTAAAAAACTTACTTGAGAAAATTGTGTTCTTCTGATGTGATTCTGCAATCTGTATACAGGGTAAAAATGGGAGTTCATAACCCACTTGAATCAAATGTATGAAATATGATATGTCAAGAGCTTTGTAATGTTTTGAACGACCAATAAAAAAAAAGAAAATTGTGTTCTTCATATTTTTCTCCAAAATCAAGGATATCATAAAGCCAATATAAAGTTCAAAATTGGGGCTGGGATAAAACTAAAGTGGTGGAACACATGCTTAGCATGTATGAGGCCCTGGGTTTGAACCCCAACACCAAAAATGATAACGACAAAGCATGGAAAACTACTCCAGTTAGACACAGAGTCTTTGCCCTCTAGGCAGATTAAACAGAAAGTAAGTAATAAACATTCATGTTTTTATTCTTTTTATTGGATGGGAGTGCTGAGGATTGAACTCAGGGGCAGTTTGCCATGGAGCTACATCCTCAGCCCTTTTTTATCATTTTATTTTATTTATTTTTTGGTACTGGGGATTTAACCTAGAGGTGCTTACTACTGAGCTACATTCCCTTTTTAATTTTTATTTTGAGACAGGCTGTCAATAAGTTGCAGAGGGCCTTGCTACGTTAATGAGGCTGGCCTTGAACTTGTGATCCTCCTGTCTCAGCCTTCCAAATTGCTGGGATGACAAGTGTGCACCACCCCATCCAGCTCCATTTTTAATTTTGAGGCAGGGTCTTATTAAATTGCCAAATCTGGCCTTGAACTTGCAATCCTCCTGCCTCAACCTCCTGAGTTGCTGGGGTACAGGCTTGCACCACTGCATCTAGCTAACCATTCATGATTTAAGCAAAGACAATAATAGTAAACCAAGAGGATCAGCAAATAGGTCCGTTAAAATTAAGTAAACTTCTCTCAGATGTGAACACATTGTTTAGGCTCCTCCAAGACTCGGGCATTATAAACCAAGGCAAATCAATCTCACTTCTCAAAGCTTCATTTTTCATTGTTCTTTTTCATATTCTAAAATGGACTGACACTTTACTTAAGAACAGAAGTCAGGAGCACATAATGTCAGAGCTAATTTCAAGGAATTCCCAACTGAACTAGGTATGGTGGTTTGCATCTGTAGTCCTAGTTATTTGGGAGGATTTTTGTTGTTGTTGTTATTGTTGTTTTGATTGAATACAGGATGCTCTATGACTGAGCTATATCCCCAGCCTTTTTTATTTTATTTTAAGACAGAGTGCCTATGTTTCCCAGGCTGGCCCCAAGCTTGCGATCCTCCTGCCTCAGCCTCCTGAGTAGCTGGGATTATAGGTCTGCACCACCACATCCCACAGTGCTTATTAGTCTTTATTAATAATCATAAAGAGATTCTTTCATTTAATAATCATTACAAAATAATTTGTGGATGCCCTCCAAAGATAGGAAAGCATGGCCAGGCATGGTGGCACACACAAGTGGCTCAGGAGGCTGAGGCAGGAGGACGATGAATTCAAAGCCAGCCTCAGCAACTTAATGAGGACCTAAGCAACTCAGAGAGACCCTGTCTCTACGTAAAATGCAAAAAAAAAAAAAAAATTTGGGGCTATGGATATAGCTCCGTTGGTAGAGTATTTGTCTCACATGCCCAAGGCCCTGGGTTAGTGATGCAGCACCAAAAAAAAAAAAATTGGCTGGGGATGTGGCTCTGTGGTTAAGCACCCTACATTTAATCCCCAATCCACAAAAAATCAATAACTTGCCTATAAACACATCAAAAATAAAAATATTACAGAGCAGACAGAATGGCCTAGGCCTACCTGTTTATTTGACCTTATTTGACCCATGTGAGGAGGAGCAGGGAGATATGCAGTAAAAATTCTTTTTCTTGACTGTCACTAGCATAGCCCTTCTAAATCTCCATATTTATTTCTGTATTCCTGCTCAAGAACCCACTGTGGCTCCCTCCTTCTGGTTCTCATGTAGATCCAGGTGACAGATAATACCAAGCTGTCATCTATCTGCATATGTATTGAGGCCAAAGTGTTCACTGTGTGTCACATTCATGACAAGCAAGGCCAGTGGTCACTGCTACTCTTAGTCTGTGTCACTAGGTAGATGTTACAAGATCATGGAGAATGTCAACTCCCTGTGGGTAATGATTTTATCTATTTTGTCCATTCTTACACCCCGGCACAGTGCCTGGAAAATGTAGCAACTCAGTCAACATATATCAGAAAAATGAATTAATTTATTTCCCAACCCTCAAATGAGTCTTAAGGGCACTGAGGCATAGAATAGTGAAGTGACTAGTCCAGGACCATGTGGTGTAGTAATGGGAAAAATTGAGATTTTGTACCTAGGTCCCCATTAAGTACCCAGTGGCTATCCATTTCTTTTCTCATCCCCTCTCCCCACGACTTTCCTGGCAGTGATAGAGAAGGACACACACTACCCAGACCTCTTTTCAAGGGCCCATTGCGCAGCTGCAGGGAATATAGCACGCAGGCAGCCTCCAACTGTCAGTGCCATCAAGGTCTTCTCCAGCTGCAGGGTCAAGCGCACCCCCCTGTGATTGTGCCCTTCCTGGGAATATAGTCTCCTTCAAACAGGAGGCATCTGCTGTGCCATCCCTGTCCCAGAGATCTCCCACTGGGTTGGCCAAGTGTTTGTGTGGCCTGTGTCGCCCTTCAGCTTTCCCTCTGTCCAATCCTGCCTCCTCCTGCTTCCCTTTGAAGGAATTGATCCCTAATAAAGTCGTTGTATTCCAAACTCCATCTCAAATTCTACTTCCAGAAAACCTATCCAATGACTGTCCAGCAAAGTCCCAATAAAGTGCCCCAGTGAAATATTGGACCTAACATTGCATTCACCAAGAATGATGCCAGTTTGAGGGAAGCAGAGTAGTGGAATGGCTACCTTGCTTCTCAGCTGAATATTAGAATAGTTGAGTCAATAAAGCTTACGTGAGAAAATTGGAGGGGTGTAACATGAAATATAAAATGCAGGAATTGAACTTAGGGAATGTCACGGGCTCTCTTTTCTATAGAGCTGAACCCCGCTCTCCTTCTTTGCTCTTTGGTGCCATGTTCCCAACTGCTTTCCTCTGCCACGGTCTTCCACTATGATGTTCATCCTCACTTGGGTCCCAAAGAATGGAGTCAGCCGTCTATGGACTAAGACCTCTGAAACCACTAGCCACAAAATAAACTTTTCCTTCTCTAAAACTGATCCCAGAACAACCAGGCAAGTAAGATAAAGCAAGAAAACCCAGGACTGGCTTTTATTCAGAATACTTTTGGGCCAGGGCAGTGGCACACACCTGTACTCTTAGCTTCTTGGGGGGCTGGGGCAGGACGATTGCAATTAGAAGTCCACCCTTGGCAACTCAGCAAGAACCTGTCTCAAAATGAAAATAAAATAAAAAGGGTCGGGGATGTAGCTCAGTGATAAAGCGCTGAGTATCCAGTACCACACATACACACACACACACACACACACACACACACACACACACACACAAAATTATTGTCAGAATTTAAATTACATCTTGTTTGATGTTTTCAGTATTTTAAATACTTCCTTGATGTTTCCTTAGTATGGAATTATTTCTCATTCTTTTCAAGTGATTTGGAAATTCTACCCCTGTTTTGTGTGTGTCTGTTTTTCATGGTACTGGGGAGTGAACCCAGGACCTCACATATGCTAAGCAAGCACTCTACTACCAAGCTACATCCCAAGCTCTTTTTATTTGAGACAGGTCTTACTAAGTGGCCCAAGCTAGCTTTAAGCTTCCTCCTGCCTCAGCTTCCCAAGTAACTGGGATTACAGGTGTGTGCCACCAAGGTCTGGCTTCTATCTTTGCTTTTAATTCAATTTGTGGTTACCTTATGGGTTTTGTTTGTTTCGGTATTGAAGTGCTGAGGGTTAAACCAAGGGCTTTGCACATGCTAGGTGAGTGCTCTTCTCCTGAGTTACATTCCCAGCCCCACCTTTGGGCATTTTTTTTTGTGTGTGTGTGGTGCTGGGGATTGAACCCAGGGACTTGTGCATGCCAAGCAAGCACTCTACCAACTGAGCTATGTCCCCAGCCCCCAGGCCTTTTTTTATTAATTGTTGATGGACATTTATTTTATTTATTTATATGCAGTGCTGAGAATCGAACCCAGTGTCTCACACATGCTAGGCAAGTATTGTACTGCTGAGCTTTGCTCCAGCCTCCACCTTAAGGTTTTTTTAAAAAATTGAACCTACCTACATTTATGTAATTATCAGCAGCAGAATTAAAGAATATCTATCCATTTCTTCTCTCTTTTGGGAATGGAGTGTGAACTCTCCTTGGGTCACACAAATGGATTTTCATGCTATGAGAGTCACACTTGGAAGTAACAGAATGGAAAGTAGACCCCCAAGAGTCACACAGCCTATAGTTTGGAAATGCAAGGGCCAGACAGACTGGGTCTAGATACTCCTGATGTCATGCTAACTGTGATATGAACACTTCTGGGGTCCCAGCCTGAAGTATGGACACTTACAGAACCACACAGAGTAGGGAGTCAACAGTCTTCTGGTAACCAAGACTAGAATGTGGACACTCCTGGTTACATGTGCACTGGGGTACAAACCTTTCTGGGTCATACACACTGGGATATGATCACTTCTTGGGTCACACAGAGCAGGATGTGGAGACTCCTGGGGTCACCTAGAGTCAGGTATAGATAATAGGGACACATCCTAGTCTGTGTCTCCACTAGAATCCACATTTATTTCTGAGAACACCCCATTATATCCTGACTATAGTCTATTTCCCTAGGAGTGGCTACTTTGAAGTCCTTACAAGTTCACTAGTTTTCATTTCCTATATTTAAAATTAGAACAAAATGCTACTAATGCTGTAATATTTACCATAAACTTAGGTTTGAAATCTTATCAAAGAGGCATGGCTATTGAAATACTTAACAGTAGCCCACATTCATGATCAGAAAATAGTATATGGTGGATAAAGAAAATATGGTACACAGTGGGATATTACTCAGCTACAAAGAATGAAATTATGGCATTTGACAGTAAATGAATGGAACTGGAGACTATCATGCTAAATGAAATAAGCTAATCCCCCCAAAAACAAAGGCCAGTGTTCTCTCTGATATGCAGATGCTAACACACAATAAGGGGTGGGGAGAGGGAAGAACAGAAGTTCATTGGAGTAGACAAAGGGGAAGGAAGGGAAGAAAGGGAGGATGGGAATAGGAAAGAAAGTAGAGTGAAGTGGACTTAACTTTCCTATGTTCATATATGAATACATGACCAGTGTAACTCCATATCATGTACAACCACAAGAATGGAAAGTTGTACTCCATACTCTATGTATGTATATGTCAAAATATACTCTACTGCCATATATATCTAAAAAGAACAAAAAATGAAAATAGGGCATGGATGGTGAACTAGTTAACGTAGGCCAGGGTGAGTGAATGAGAGCTCTAAAACAGGAGAGTATTGATGGCAACCTCACTAATCAAAGCCCTGTTTAAGCTCAAGTCAGAGGGGCATTAAGAGTGGTGGCCTTGGGTTGGGGTTGTGGCTTGGTGGTAAAGCACCTGCCTAGCATGTGTGAGGCCCTGGGTTCAATTCTCAGCACCACATAAATAAATAATACAACTAAAAATATTTTTTTAAAAAAGAGTGGTGTCCTTATCAGAGGCCAGGGCTGAGGCAACACTATCAGGGGAAGTTGATAGTGAAAAAATGAACAGAGATCATGGTTACAGTTCAGATAAGAGGGGCATTAATGAGATAAAAATTAATACACACAGTTCAATAAGAGACCAGAAAATCACTGATCATGGAATAAAGAGGAACAGATATGAGGTCAGACAGGAGGAACCAATAATTTTAATTAACAATTATTCTATTTGATTATACAGATGGAGGTGTGAGTGCAGATAGAATAATCAACAAATCTTTGAATTCAGACTTGAGGGATATGAATGGTGTAGTAGTTAACAGAGGCCCTAGTTTAGGGTGAGACCAGAAAAAAAGAGATGAGGACAACTAAATGAATATCTGAGTTTGAGGTCAGTCAAGAAGGGAACAGATTATAGAATATTTAACAGAACCTGGGGAAGTTCAGACTCTGGTGTTGGAAGCAATAACAATGGAACAAGTTCAACAGCAGATCCTCAAAGCACTGGTGTTGGAGCATCAGAGGATTCAGTTCAGGGCTAAACCAGAGGGAACTGATGGAGGTATATTTAACAAGAACTGAGTTTGAAGATAAGCCTGGAGCAGAAAGATTTTGCAAGAGTTAATTGACTGTGCTAGGAAATATTTTTGATTATGGAAGAGTAAGCATTTAAGTCCTGGCTAAAAATTGGACTGACTAAACCAGGTGTGGTGGCTCATGCCTGTAATCCCAGCAACTCAGGAGGCTGAGGTAGACAAATTCCAATTTAGAGGCCTACCTAAGCAACTTAGTGAGGACCTGACTCAAAATTTAAAAGAAAATTAAAAAGGGCTGGTGATGTTGTTTAGTGGCAGAGAACCCCTGAATTCAATCCCCAGAAACAAAAAAAAATGTTTTAAATGTAAAAAAAACAGAAAAGAAAAGAAAGAAAAAGAATCAGACCAGAAAGTAAGGAGTAAGGATAGTGGAAGAGCATTCACTAAGAACTAGGATGAGGGGCTGGCTGGGGATGTGGCTCAAGCAGTAACACGTTTGCCTGGCATTCGTGGGGCGCTGGGTTCGATCCTCAGCACCACATACAAATAAAATAAAGATGTTGTGTCCACCGAAAACTGAAAAATAAATATTAAAAAATTCTC